CAGTTGTCAACTCTACGACGACGTCACGCTAAAATTACTCTCACGAATTCTGCTGCAATCGGCGCAATCTTGTATTCTATCATTCTTGACTGTGTACGGACCCCATTCAGCAGTGCGCCGCTGGGAAACAGCGATTCTGCCGCATTCGCTGAGAGCGGACTAACGGTCTGAGTTGAGTGCCACCTATGTTCTCTACATCGTGTATAGCATTCGGCAATGGCCGGCAGGCTTCGACCGGCTGCTTCATTCACCAAGTAGAAGAGCGGAGAATTTTAAGAATTGCTAAGTTATTTCATTTTCTGTATTGATGCAGATATGCTTTGGCCCCACCTCCGCAAGTAGAGCATACAAACTATGACCTATGTAACGCGTTGTTAAAAGGAGAAGAGTTTTGTATTTAGTATACTTACCGTGGCATTCAGTAAGCGGCCTCTAGTCACTAAAAGTGACTTTTGGTGGTGAACTTGAATTTTGAGATTATTTGGTATTCAGTACGCTGTCTCACGTCACTAGTCTAAAAAAAAGTCACTAATTTGTCAGCTTGCTAAGAGCAGGTCTCAAACATAAACATATGGAGAAAAAGTTAGTTGCTTTCCATTTTATTAAAAAAAAACGCGATTATGAAGCGAGGAAATCTGTTCAATAAGAATTCGTTAGGAAATAACCCAAAATGCGTTAATATACAAATCCATTGAAAAAAATATATATATTTTTTTTAACATTAAAACTAGATTTAAGAAAAAAAAAAAAAACTAATAAAAACAAGTAAGAAAGTCTAAGTTCGGGCGGAGTCGAACATTAGATACCCGGCGCGAGTATTAAATATATGTTTTTTCACCTTTCCGAAACCCGCCGCTAGATGGTAAGCCAGGGTGTATCAATTTTGATTAAATTAGCGTCCTTAACTTTCGAAATATTACAGTTTCAGGCATTTCTGAAATTTACCGTTAAATGAAAAGCACAATAAAAATACCGAGTTTGGTACAAATTGGTAGAACCATTACCGAGATACATATATGTGATCATAAGTGGGCGGTGCCACGCCCATTTTCCAAAATTTTATCATAAACTTATTTCTTGGTGAAGAATTGTTGCAACCATCAATTTTGAATAAATTAGCTTCAATATTTACTGATTTATCGAAGATTTTGTATTTCTCTAAATTACCGTTATATGGGATGTGGGCGTGGTTATTGTCCGATTTTAAACATTTTCAGCCATTTGGTATGCTGTACCTAGGCCAACAACTATGCCAAGTTTGGAAAAAATTGCTGCAGCGGTTACCAAGATATACACATGTAACCGCGTGGCTATGCCCATTTTCCAAAAATTTATAATATTCTTATTTCTCGTCTGAAAGTTATTGTAAATATCAATTTTCAATATCAATCTTCAGTATTTACTAAAATATCGCAGTTTTCGTGTTTCTGCAAATTACCGTTATATGGAAAGTGGGCGTGGTTACAGTCCGATTTCGCCCATTTTCAATACCAACCTACCTTGGATTAATGGAAGCCCACATACCAAATTTTGTTGAGATATCTCAATTTTTGCTCGAGTTATCGTGTACGAGGACGGACGGACAGACGGACAGACGGGCGGACAGACAGACATGGCTTAATCGACTTCTCTATTCATTCTGAGCATTTATGTATCCATTTGTCTATATCTATCTCGATTCGTTTTGGCTGTTACGAACAACCGTTATGTGAACAAAATGTATATACCCTTGTGCACAAGTGCGCTCGGGTATAAAAATACAAAATCCTCTACGCCCGAGGAGTACTCGAACCCGGACCCTCTCGACCGGCAGCCTAATGCTTTGACCACTCGGCCATTGCGACTATTCGGGCGGCGCGGCAAAAGGCATACGTAAACGCTATTAGTTGACTGTCTGTGTTTGTTTTCACCACACATTTTTGGCGAACTTTTTGTGATCTCTCCTACTGAAGCTAAATCATCTCAAGTCACAAAAATAGTCACTAATTTCTAATCTCAAATTTAGTGACTTGAAATGAGACTATATTACTGAATCCCAGGGTTAATACCGAAAGTATTACTATAGTAGTTTTTAACTACTCTTTTGTCATTTATATTCCTGTACTCCCCAAGGACCGATTTTACTACAACTTTGCGAGATAGTTGGCATTTTTTTTACACAAGCACCTTGCTTGGATTGATTTGCGATCCACCTTTCCTTTCATTGAGAGTTCACTTTATAATCAAGTTTCTTAAGCCTATTAGATAGTTTTTTTTAAAACTTATGACTGCAGTGAGGAGCTTAACCCGGGTATTTAATATTCGGCTCCGACCGAATTTAGACTTTCTTACTTGTTTTAATAATCTTTAGATTTTAATATATATATATATTTTTTTTTTCAATGGATTTGTATATTAACGTATTTTGGTTTATTTCATAACGAAATTCTTATTGAACCAATTTCCTCACTGCATATTCGCGTTTTTTTTAATAGAATGGAAAGCAATTAACTTTTTCTCCATATTTTTAGTTTTGAGACCTGCTCTTAGCCAGCTGACAAATTAGTGACTTTTTTTTTTTTTGAGACTAGAGACGTGAGACAGCGTACTGAATACCAAATAGTCTCAAAATCGAAGTTCAAAACCAAAAGTCACTATCAGTGACTAGAGACCGCTTACTGAATGACAGGGTAAGTAAAATATGGCGCATGACTCATGTCAGATGTTATTTAATATTTTTTGAACTATATGAGACTCCATATCTATTCATATTGGGTACGAAACGATTAGTGGAACCAAAGATGTTAAATTTTGAATGGGGCAAAGTGTGGTAAATCATCGTAAATCGCCCAAACTCAGACCCTTTATAACTTTGAAAAATTTTCTTTTCGACTATATCCTGATATCTTTAGGCATTTCTTTATTTAAAGCATACATACGAATTATGAAGGGGTACGATTTGTAAAATAATGACTCTTATGCACTTTTGTGTGTATTGCTTAGTCTCCTTTACAGATCTGTGATATATATAGTACAGAAACTGTAAGCCTTGAA